AAAAAATGTAGAAAAAATTACTTGGCTCTCTTACTTTGTCCAACAAGTGTAACTTCTAAAATATTTTAAAATATGTATTAGAAGATTTTTCTAATTTTGTGATTTGACCTTAGCATAGGAAGACTTTTAAAAGGTATTCTTGCCGCAACAGCCCAACCTTGTAAACACTTCCAGTTGGCTGGGACCACCTTGTGGAACTACTAGAATGTGGGCCAGAAGGGTCCATGTTCATGGAGTTGGGATGATGTCTATGCACCACTATAGAGAAAGGATAATAGACTCAGAGACCTTTTCATATTGTTTCTGATTAACATAGCTGTAAATAGTGTCCTCTTTCAAAACTGGCTGCTGAAGTATTCCACATAAGACTTGTTATGTGCAATTATTTTGGTTTACATAGCTAGTAAGAGAAAATGATTTCAAAGCTCATGTACTTTCAACCCAAACGACTGCCTCTTAAAAATATGTATAAAATATCAGTAAGTCTCCCTATAGAAAAATTCAAAAATACAATCTTCAGTATAGATGATTTGACTATTTTACAAAAAATCTTCTAATAAATATTTTAAAATAGTTTAGAAGTTATGTTTGCTGGACAAAGCAAGAGAGCCAAGAAATTTTTCTGTACGTTTTTTAGTGAAATGCCAGATTAATAGAGGTATTATTAGTATAACATCAAAGCAATCTGGTTATCGAAATATATATACAAAGAATTTTTTTAAATTTGCCCTATGCACACTAAACTACTATTTCCAATATTGTAAAATAAAAGAAATATTACCATGCACTCTGAAATCCATCTGTGACTATAAATTTCATGATAAAGTGAATGGCATTTCCAAAGGAAGAATGCAAAATATTTCTTAATTGCTTTGGGACATGTTGCTTGAAATTCTGATCTTTAGATTTACATATTCCAAGTTTCTGTTTCTTGCATAACTGAAACTTTGTACCCTTTGACCAACATGGCTCCATTTTTCCCATCCTCCATCTCCTGGTACTCACCATTCTACTCTGTGCTTTTGTGAGTTTGATTCTACGTGGAAGCAAGATCATTTGGTGTTCATCTTTCTGGGTCTGGCTTATCCCACTTAGCATAATGTTCTCAAGGTTCATCCCTGGTGAGATGCCTTTGAATAAAGGGACAAATCTAGACAACTTCTAAAGCCTCTTCCCTTCAATCTTTTTTTACATCTTAGGTTGTTTAGCTTTATTTCAAAACAGTGTCAAAATTATTATAACTTATGTGGAGATGCCTTGAAGTATCTTTCTTTCATGCTGCAAAATGCTTCTAAAGTCTAAGGAACGCCAAGCACTAACAATATAACCTCCTGCCTTAACATCTGTTTTTTACTTTTGTTTTGCTTTCCTGAATATTCACCCTAGTTTTAGTTGCTGCTGTTTAATTCAGTGGAGGAAACCTTATAAGGTTTAAGTATTAAAGAGAGGAATGAAATTCTTTAAATATAAAAGAGGAATAAAAACCATTTGGGCCTAAGAATTATGTTATGATAAAAACACTATGGGATTTCTCCTGCTCGTCCTTGTAGACACCAAGGTATTAGAAGTGCGTACACATGGAGAGAAGGCCACGTGAGGACAAAGAGGTGGCCTTCTGAAGCCATGTGCAAGTCAGGATGAGAGACCTCACCAGAAACCAACCTTGGTCTTGAACTTCCAGCCTTTAGAATTGTTAGAAAATAAATTTCTATTGATTAAGCCACCCAGATTATGGTATTCTGCTATGGTAACCTTTGCAAACTAATATAATCTTGGAGAAAAGAAAGGCATAAGGATATGTAATAGTTCAAGTCCATGAAGTAATGTGTCTCAGATTGGGTAGAAATAACATTATTCAAATTATACCATAGTTTTAATTGGGCATTGCTTTTTTTTTAAATGCATTACAAGCATTACCTACCTTACAAAAAGTCCCCCCCCTTTTTTTAATAAATCATAGATGTGTACATTAATGCAGTCATGGGGTACAATGTGCTGGTTTTATATACCATTTGAAATATTTTCATCAATGGTTAACATAGCCTTCACCACATTTTCTTAGTTATTTTGTTAAGACATTTATACTCTACACTTAGTAAATTTAACATGTACCCTTGTAAAATGCACCATAGGTGTGTTCCCACCAATTACCCTCCCTCCATCAATCCTCCTCCTTCCTTTCCCCTCCTTCTCCTCCCTCCCCTTCTTCTTGGGCTACAGTTGGGTTTCAGATTTCATATGAGAGCTATAAATTTGTTTCATAGTTAGGGCTGAGTACATTGGATACTTTTTCTTTCATTCTTGAGATACTTTGCTAAGAAGAATATGTTCCAGCTCCTTCCATGTAAACATGAAAAAGTTCTCTATTTTCTTGTTGTGATCCTTGCACTAAACACAATTTGGGACACTCTTTTGATTTCAAAGTGCTAACATTAACATATTGTGATATGATAATATATATTCACTATACCCAAAATACCAAAAAGTTAGAGACAGATTATGCTGGAGGATATAAAAAATCAAAATAGCTGAGCACCAATTAGTTGCCTTATCAAGGTTTGGAGTTTGGGGTTGTATTCAGAGCCATCCTCACCCTACCCAAAAGACTGATTTAGACATGCACCCATCACCTTAAGGCATAAAAGAGCATCCTCGATGGGTCCACCTGGACAGGTGATATATGTCCCCTGTTGTGTAGTGATAGGTTGGAAGTGGGCTTGAGATCTCAAACTCTGCTCATTCCAAAGAAATGTCTAAGTCTTCATTAGCTCTGTAAGACAACCTCTGACCTCTTGGAGTATCCTGACTGATAAGAGTGTCTTTGTATACCTTAGACCTTGGGCCATGCCAGATTGTTCATATTAATAGACATGAATTATGATGAATACCTGAGATCCTAAGCCATATTGTATCAATTTGACCTTTCAGGGGCTAGAGACTAATTAAGATTAGTCATGTTGAGCACTCTGTGTCTCTGTAACCGAGTCTTGGTAAAAACTCTAAACACCAAGTCCAGGGTGAGCTCCTCTGGTTGGCAATACTTGATACATGTCACACATCATCTCTGGGAGAATGAGGTTCTATCTGTGCAACTTCACCAGATAGAACCTCATAGTAATCAGAAAAATCACAGAGCTTGATTAAGGTATGTCCCAATGGTGGTAAAATAACTCATCCAGCTGAATAAATTTAAAAGGGCAGAGAAAATCATAAGGTTGTATTCATGTGAATTAAGCTTGTTCAACACCAATAACAATTTTATCTCACATGTTTAACTCTCCTTTTTCTACCTGACATTCCCAAAGATAAATAAAATCTAAAATTAGGAAAAATAAATTCATAGATGGAAGGATGTTGTAATTATAGGACTAGATATTTTTAGACATAAAGAGATGTCATTAGACTAATAAAACATAATATCAACTAAGTAGCTGGAACCTAACACAAAAGAAAGGGTTTACTGAGAGGAGAATGGATAAATTTTCCCTACAGACATGGAAAATTCCAAAGATAGCTGTACGTAGGAGTGAACTTTGAGGAAATTAATTGGAAAACTTTGGGAGATATTATGTGTGCATATAGCGCTTGACTAAGGCATTTATCCATAAGCTAGAGATTATAAATGAGTTTTTTTTGTTGTGGGTTCCTGTGGTTATCAGTTATGGTGGACACTAGAACTTGAGAATAAATTGACATAGTAAGTAGGGTTTCCTCTGTCCTTCCACAGAATTATGCAGAGCATAAAGAGCAGAAAGATTGAAATTTTTGAGAGCAATCCACTTAACAGGATGTTAAGTAGAAAGAATGTGGTAACTATCATTCTACTTTCTACCTCCATGACATTTTTTTTGGGGGGGGTCCCACATATGAGTGAGAACCTGCAAATATTTAACTTTCAGTGCCTGGCTTATTTCACTTAATATCCTCCAGTGCCATCCATGTTATTGTAAATGACAGGATTTTATTTATTTTTATGACTGAATGATATTCCATTATATATATGTACCACATTTTCTTTATCCATTCATCGACTGATGGATACTTTGGTTTATTCTATGTCTCAGCTGTTGTGAACGGTGCTATAATAAACATGGAAGTACAGATATCTCATCAATATACTGATTTCCTTTCTTTTGCCCATATACCTAGCTGGGTGTTGGATCATATGAAGTTCTATTTTTAATTCTTTGAGGAACATCTATACTTCTCTATGGTGGTTATATTAACTTCCACTTCACCAGTAATGTGGGTAGGCTTCCCTGTTTCCTAAGGTTGAACTTTCTATCTCCTTTCCCTGCATTGTTTTTCTCCCTGGATTTTGACACTATTCATGTACAATATATATTCTCCTATTTGTTTATTTTATCATCAGAATGTCAGCTCTGTGAAGGTATGGAACTTGGCTATTTTGTTTGCTTCTGTAGTCACAGGGCCTATAAGGGTGCCTGATGTTCACAAGCTCAATCAATACAGGCTTGTAGAATGAATAGATGAATACTTAACGTGTAAAGTGCTTAGAACAGGGCCTGGTTCAAAAATAATCACTTAATATACATCAGTTACTATTGTACTACCAAAAAATGTAGTTTTTGTTAGTACAAAGAATGTTGAACTGAGAGACATGGATTCTCATGGATCCATGGATTCATGGATTTTTTTTTTTATGAAAGAAGATTCCAGCAGTGAACTAGTCTTTTACCGATGACTTTCATGAAATTTATTTTACTTGTGTGGGAAGATATTATTATCACTTCCCTATTACACAAAAACACAAAGGAAGAATTTTCTACTATTCCCCCATGGTATAAGGAGAAGAGTAAACTACTAGAGTTCGATTTCTATGGCAGTGGTTCCTACAGCAAAGCTATTGGAAGGCCCCCAAAATAGTGTAGGTGGGACCAATGATGGAGGTCGGGGTCACTCCTCAAATACATGGTCTATCCTGAAATTCACCACATACGGTTCTTCTCCAGACAAGTCCCCACACATAAGACACTCACAGCATTTCCGTTTTCAATCCAGGTGATGGTGGGGACAGGGATGCCTGTTGCTGTACAGCGCAGGGTCACAAAGGAGCCAAAGGTGACATTGTGGGATTCAGGAGCCCTCAGGATTCTGGCAAAAACTGTTAGGAAGACAGATGTGGTGAGTGACCCTCATATAAGGAATGATCAAGTTAGAATAGTTTTTAAAAAATGCAGATCAGAACACATTTCTCTGTGTGCAGTCCTTCAGCATTTCCCTCTGTCTTAACAACCAGACACCGTGGCCTGGCCTCCAAGCCCTATAGGCCAGGGGCCTACATTTCTCATCACTTCAGGACACACGGGGCTTGCTCTCAACGTGGGGAATTGCTCTTGCTGCTCTTCTTCCTAGAATACTCATCCCCCACTTTCACACAGGCAGGTCGCTTGTATCATTCAAATGTCTGTTTGATATTCCTCAGAAGGGCCCTCCTCAATATCCAACCTAAAGTGAAACCCTCCCCTCATTCCCCTTTTCATCATCCCACTGTCTTGATAGACCTTGCCACTGTCTAAAATTATCTTTCTTATTTTTTTAACTTGGCTATGATTTCCCTTCCCTAATAGACTGTCTGAAACCTGAAATCTTGCCTGTTGTGTTCCCTGCTGTATTCATTACCTGTCAGAGTTCCTAACTGAGTAACTGTGATGGTATTTTTTTGAATTAATAAAATAATTAGTTAATGCTTTACACTTTCAGCTGTGTCATGGTGAGAGGACAGACAGACGAAGTGTGTCAAATTTTTCAGATCATAAGATGATATACTGGGCAAAAATGAAAAAGAATATTTTAAGTAAAGTGTAGGTCAGAGAATGAGTAATTTATATTCCTTCTTGAGGTTGAATCCTCACTGATTAATAGAAGAAGATTCTTTTGTTGTACACAGAAATTTACCTTTAACTCAACAGTGGGTTTCAGAATTACAGTGTACGATAAATTGGAATATACTTAGAATCACAGAATCATTAAACTTGGAAGAGATTTCAGAGATCAACCAGATTCCTACTGTCCTTTTAGATGTGGGAACTGAATACCAGTTATCTCAATTGATTTCCAAAGGTAACAAAAGTCGTGGGTGAGGAACCTGGACTCAGGTCTTCAGACTTTGAATAAAATTTTCCTCAGAACTACTATGGAATCTTTTTGATGGCCTATTTATACTGGAAATGTATTTTGTGCTCCTGTATTTTGATTTCTGGGACCTAAGCATAGAATATAATATTAGAGTATTGAAGCCTCCTTAAAATTAACTTTATGCTTTGAAGCTTAGTCCTTAAGATTTGTGAAGTTTGGATTCTAAAATAAAGTGTGCAGAGACACTGTCCACTAAACTGGAGATACTCAGGACAATGATAGGTCAACCCAGAGTGGTATTGAAAGTTGGTCTGATTTTTAAACACCTCTCAAAAAGGATTACATAATTCAAACACATAAAGGAAGAAATGATTTGACAACTAGATGCTTTATAAAATTTTGAATTAATTTGATTTCTTGTCTTTTGATATGGAGAACTCTAAGAGATGGAATATGGAACCATCTCTTTTGGATATACAAATATTAGGCCTGAAAGCCAGCGGAAAGGAAAGCAAGAAAGGTGCTGTCTTCAAGGCAACCAATAATTTAAAGAGACAAATAACAACAACAACAATAAAAAACAGTGTTAAATGTCCGATCTGTAGTTGAATCTGTCTCCCCAAACCAAAACTGACTCTGATTTTAACAGCCAATCTACAAAAGTCAGAGGGTTGAGGAATATGTTAAAGAACACCACGGAGGTGGAATTCAATCAAATTCAGAATATGGAAAATTTAACAGGACAAATTACTTAGTTTCCTCAACAAGTAAATAGCATAAGGAGGAAAAAGGAAGCATAATGTATTATAGATTAAAAGAGACTTAGGAAGCATGTTACCCCAATGCAGTATGTGCTCTATTTGAATTCTTATCCTCCCAACTTAGTCTACGTTTCTAAGTCATGACTTCTTGACAACTACCACAGACTGAGTGGGATCCTAGTGAGGGTGCACAGGTATTGTTCTGTGGTAACAACAGTAGGGATATTTGAATTTATGTGCGTCATTTGGCTGAAACCCTTCTTGTCAGGTTTGGAGCTGTGCTTGTATGTCCTAAGTTTTTCTCTGAGGTTACTACAACGATTATCTTATGGGTCCCATTTCCTCAGAACCTAAAACAGGGAGGATCCCTGAGAGATTTGGAGTTGGATCATCTCAATCTCATATGTTCCAGAAGAGTGTTTTCATAACATTGACTGTCCCCTTGAACTTGAATAAAAGCCTTCTGGCTCAAGATGAGCTGAATCAAAACTTAGAGAAGAATAAAATCTAGATTATTTTTTGTTGTTTTAGTTTATAAAAGCAAGAGTTTTAATTTGGAGACTTTAAATTCTTCCCAGAAGTTTAGTACTCAGAGAGGTTTAATTGTGTTCTAATTTATAGTTTTTTTTTTCTTTTGGCTGGTATTACGTTATTTGGAATATCATTGGGGCTCATTGCAAAACCTCTGAATATTCATATTGTGCAACACAGCTAAGCAGAATGTGGAATAGCAACTAAAACACACAATCAATTATCATCATAGAGTCCAACATAACTTGGGGGTTGATTTAATTATAGTATACTATGCCCTAAATCAGCGCCTTCTGGGAACTCAATGGTGCGCAGGAAGGCACTTAAAGGATACCGTTGGCCTGTGGGTAGCATCATGAATGTGGGACTGTGCTGATAAACTACTGGTCTCCTCCCAGAAGGAATAGCCAAACCCCTGGCTGATCAGGGATCTTGTTGAGAACAGTGGGTGAAGAGGGAAAAAAGAACAGCTAGTTTCTCCTGTACTCTCATGTTCCAGCAAAGGACAAAATAGAACTCAGCCCTTTTTATTCAGTATTGAAAGCTAGTTTCCACCCTTCCTCCCAGGCTTCCTCTCTTCTTAAAGGAGACTGCAGACACCTCTGAGTTTCTACTTAAATGTCTCCTTATCACTAATGTTTTCTCATCCTCTTCCCCTTTATCCTTGCTCATGTCCCTTCATAACATGCTCTAATTTATTTAGTAGCTACTGGTTTATTTATTTATTTATTAGATCATAATTGTGTACATTAATTCTATCATAGGATACAATGTGTTGCTTCCATTACTGGTTTATTTATTTATTTGATTTTTGGTTTTCTTTCCTCTCTGAAATGTAAGTATCTCAAGGGCAGGGTGTGCTTTGTTCATTGACCTGAGCTATCTATCTATCGACATTATCTATATTTATTTCTAGAACTCTGTATGGTACATGGTAGGCACTCAATAAATAGTTGAAGAATGAATAAATGAATGTCTGAGTGACTTCTCTGATTGGGAGAAGGGACTTGTAGATGTTATAGGTATCTCAGGCCTCTGGGCCACCCTGCATCCTGCATATAGAAGGTGCAGGGTTGCTGGATAGTGAGTATCGATCAATTCACCAGGTCAGTGCTTCTTCACCAACAACTAGGAGTGAAATGGGAGAAGCAGGGAGGATGTGAGGAGGAGGAGACACAGTTATGTTAGTCTAATTCTTACATAGAGTAGAAACCTTTATTTTTCTATCCAAACTTAAAGCAGTAAAGCAGGTATATTTTTGCCCATCTCTGTTGCCGTTTACAAATACGCAATGTGAAAAGGTGAGGAAAGAAATTCCACCACATTTATCAAGCATTGAAGACAGGAAAGTCAGTTGCAATTAAACATAAATGCCAGGCTAACTGACATGAACAATAATAGAACTACAATAATAAATGTGAATAGAGGTTAACAGTAAATCCCATTGTTTTAGTGGGAAACTACAAACTGAAAATACATTTATAGGTCATCCGTTTAAAAAGTATATGATAACGCTTCTTATCAAATAAAATGGGCCTTCAATATCGCTAGTCTGCATTTTATTTGTATGAAAGAAAATATAAAAGTGTTTTGTTACATAAGTAATTAAACTGCTTACTAAAAGGGGTATGAAATTACTGAGTAAGGTGGGAAATGTTTATGACCATTTTGATCTGGATTTTTAAAGAAAAATGTTATCCAACTCCTGTTTCTCTGCCTCGTCTTATCCATCATCCTCCAGTTCCCTGGGACCTCCTTGCCTCCTGCTTTCCTCTGGGCAAATTTTTGTTCATCTGCAACATGGGAATTAGATACAAGTGATGTATTTGTCTCCCCAGTTTTCTCTAATGGGTTCTATTCATGATTTGGGGGGGGGTTCTTTTCTTTGGGGCATGTTTACAGTGCTAACTGCAAGATGAGAATCTTATATTCAAATTTGGGCTTACCCAGCCAGTAATTTCAAAGTTCTGTATAACATAACCACATTATATTCTCCCTCTTTCTTCCCTCCCCCTTTCTCTTTCTCTGTTTGTCCAAGCGCTGTCAGATACATAATCAGTTTTATTGTTGATTGTCATCTTAAGAGGTGCTGTATATCAAGGGGATAAAGCCATTATTCACTCTGGAGCGTAAGGGAAAGCTCAAGGGGACGGGGACCAAATTAAGTCCTGAGCTTAATGAGTAGTTTGGCTTGCGATGAACTACCTCTCTTTTCTTTGTAAGGGAACAGTGCCAGAGGAATACTTAAGTCTCTTATCAATTTCTATTTCTAAGGGATTATTTCAAAGGACACAATGAGCTCCCATGGACTTTATTTTCTCTTGCTTTTTAATTATTGTCTAGTTTTCCTGAAAGAGGGTTTTTAAGTTACATGATTCAAACCAGCAGTGACTGATAGGAATAAGTTGGAGGAAAAAAACTAAAAAGAAAAAAAAAATTCACACAAGACTAGGTGAAATGCTTTTAAGCGCATTTAATTGTAAGCAGCCCAGTATTTAGAAATGGAAAGACGTTTTACGTACTTTATATAAGATACCAAGATAAACAGGTACTGTTTTAAATAATAGTCTAAGATTGAATCCTAGAGTCAAACTCTGTTAGCAGAGTTGTGAATTTCATCCCCCAAATATCAAAGTTTAGGTTAGAAGAGTATAAAGTTTGGGGCTTAATCAGGATGCAAGTTATTTTTTTGATGGAAAACTTTTTTTTGACAATCGGGGTTTTTTCTCAACAAATTTGCTTTCCAGCTATTGAAATGTATCCCAGTAACTACATGGAGGCTGTCAAAAAAATGGATACACATTTTAAGAAAGGAAAACGCTGTATTAAATTTGTAATACTCAAGTCACATTTGACTTCTGCAATTACGAGAGCTGCTCAGCGTGACTTATATCCATCTTTTATTATATGTTGAGTATTATAATTTTGATACAGCGTTTTCCTTTCTTAAAATATCTATACATCTTTTGGCACCCTCCACGTAAGTCTGTGTGCGATTGAAATGAGACAATGTCTATTGATTTAGAGCAATTGCTTAATACTCTTCATGCTTTTGAGATAATAACAATCAAAATCCAAGCTGGCATCTTGACATTTTAACATTTCTCCAAAAAATGGTAAATCCCCTTGCCCCAAATAAGCGTCTTTTAGTCAAAGGATAACTTTCTTTTCCAGTCTCTTTGTGGTTTAACTGATTTATTTCATTTCATTTTGATTGTATTTCCAGCGTTTGGAACACCAACACCAAATTTGACTATTCCTGGGGACTCCGCCTTCCTTTAAAAAATGTAAACGCTCTGTACACAGATCGCATAATAAAACAGGACATCTAATAACTCAGTTAAAGGCTGCGACTTAATATTCTCCAGGCGTTGTTTGTTATTTCTGAACAAAATAATGGCACTGAGAGCTATCTATAAGGTCAGCAAAAATAAGCAATTGAAAAGAACCACACGTTTAAAAAGAAGCCATGCAGAAAGGAAAAAGCAAATACCTTTAGCATCTTGCTCAGGTTCACTTTCTTCTATTAATAGAAACAAGACAAAATAAATAAACACAATAAATAAGCAAACAAAACAATGCATTGTGGAAAGGGCAATCTTGGACCACAGAGACATGAATTGTGCAACAAGATTAATTAGAACCTATTTGTTTCTTATTTCCAAGAAACAAATGCAATCAAGGGAAACTGCTGACCTTTTGAAAGCAAAGAATTAAATGACGTAAGATTCAAATGATTACTTTTAGTCAGACAGTATTATACAGAAAATAAACCACGGCATACCCAACCACGCAGCTCATCCATGAATTTCTATTCTAACATTGACAATTACCCTTTTCTCTGAGGCAACAGAGTGGCTACTATTCTCAGACATTGTGCTTCCCCTCGCAGCTCAGCTTCTCCTCTTACCAGGCCCCGCTGTGAAGTCAGTGATCTCTGTGAATCGGGGATCTCAGCTATCATTTCTATGGCAATAGACTCGTGTTGTGGTAAACAGGGGATTAGGGGTTTTCTGCAGAACAGAACCTACCACCAACAGAGATCTGCAACTCTGTCTCAACACACAGGCTGCTCAGAGAGCAGACAGGGGAAAATCATTACCTCGTGGGAACGTGCCAGTGAAACAGAAGTACACAGGACATGGTAAAATATTTCAATTGGATAGAAAGGATTGAGAATTTATAAATTTTTTAAAAATCCAAGAAGAGAGACCACAAAACCAAATTAATTCTTCCAAAATGTTTAATATAACCCTATCCGATGTAGACCCCACGTGGAGCTTTATTTTTCTTTCCTGAAGCTTCATTTGTTCATGGTAATTTAGATCTTTCTTAGAGTTAATAATAAGCCAAATACAATATTTGTTTATAAGTAAAAAAGCTCATGCTATTAACAATTTTTTTTTTTTTTTGAGACAGAGTCTCAAGCTGTCACCCTGGGTAGAGTGCGGCGGCATCCCAGCTCACAGCAACCTCCAACTCAGGCTCACATGATCCTCTTGCCTCAGTTTTTCTATTTTTAGTACAGATGGGGGTTTTGCTTTTGCTCAGGCTGGTTTTGAACTCATGAGTTCAAGCAATCCAGCTGCCTCGGCCTCCCAGAGTGCTAGGATTACAGGTGTGAGCCACCCTGCACAGCTTGTTATCCCTTTTTAATGATCAGAATACAATTCCACAGTTCTTCACAGACTAGGGATATTTGTGTGCATGTTGAACATGGATATCACACTTAACTCTCACCACATCTCTGTGATTGGGCATAATTGATATCATGTAGCCTGAGTTTGCCGACCTGTACATGCAATGGAAATGTCCTGCCAAAAACTGCATCACTTAGTGCCAAGGACCACACATTCATCCAGATGAACGTGGCTGACAGTTGACAAGGTCACAGGCAGATTTAATGGCCAATTTAAATGCTGTGTTATCTGTGGGGCCATTTACAGGATAGTGGAGCCCAGTGACTCCCTTCTCCAACTGGCCAAGGTTGACAGCATCATCTCAAAGAACTTCTGATGGAAGAAAAGCATGGATGTGGAACATTTGTCATAAATGAATAGTAAACACCCTCCCCCCGCCAATTAAACTAGCCCATTTTCCAGACAGACAAAGAATCTGAGACTTAGAGATTTGCTGCAAGATCAGAGTCAGGAATTCAACCTCATTTCCAAATACTGGTCTAACCTAGTGTCACAGTGAAGAGGTCTCATTTTCATACTTAACACCCAGTCAATTTAATGGAATTTACAATTTCCCATTTAGATTCACTATCTGAAGTTGCCCTACCTGCACTAACCAGTCAGTAGTATCGTTTGTTTGTTTAAGCATCAAGGTTAAAGACTATTTACACTCTCTAAATTGAATGCACTTATGGTTAAAAGGAGATTTATAAATTGTCAAATGTACCTCTAAATGAAAGCATTTTTTACAACATAGCCAACAGTGACTGGCAGAGCATAAGTATTAGGTGAATATTAGTTTCTTCCATCTTAAAACTGGTCATCTGGATACTTGGAAACTGCAAATTCCCTGTGTTGGTATCAAAGACCTCCTACTCAGAACAAATGAATGAAGGTCAGTGGCTAGGCCCAATCTAGTCTGAAAAATTGTATTTGAAAGCCTTTCTGATGGGCACGACTTTCTACTTCTTTAGAATAATGTGCTTGTTCCTAAGCTTGGGGAAAAAAGGGTTCTTTTCTATTTCTCTTCCCTCCCCTTCCCTTAAATGTTCTCCCCCTTTCCCTCCCTTACTCCTCTTCCCTTTCTTCTGTTTCCTCTTTCCACCTTTCGTTCTTTCTTTCTTTGTTCTTCTATTTTCCCCCATCTGCCAACTAACTATTTAAGAGTGGTTGGGATGGCCATGGGACTCCTACAGGAATACTAATAGTCTTTATTCCTTGGTTGTTGTATTGCTAGAATATTATTCCACTAAAGAGCACCAGTAAAATTTGAGACTCTTACTACCTTGCCATTTTCCCCCCATATACTACTCTTTTAAAGGGTTCTAGAACCAGTGCATGTCAATTCTGAGTTTCCTCTGAGTTTTGCTCCATTGATCAATACTGGACTATACTTTCTATACTACTTTACTTTGAGCATAGGCCCAGTTTGGACAATGCTGATTTTCCTTTGGTATTTTTCACTTTGTTGTGATTGTTGTGACTTCTGTTTATTTTGGTTGATTTGTTTGGGGTTGGGAGCAATGCAAAGTTTTGAAAGGATATACCCTTCTCCTCCATTGCAGATAAATAGGAACCAACTCAAGAGATGAAAGAATGTCTTGGATTTGTTGTCTTCCTAGGAAGAGGCCTATGAGTTCTACCAGAAGTGATCCTTTCACTGATAAACTATCAAAATTTATTTCTAGGCATAAATTCAAATATACATCTTTATACAGACATATTTGTATATGTTTATGGATTAGTATACACACATTACATGCATGCACACACAACTGAGGTTACTTTAAATTAGAGCAAATTATGCAAGAAAAATCTGTAAAACCTCTTTAAGCGTGGGTACAATTATTCAGTGTATGAGCTTGTTGGTTATTTCAAGGTCAAATACAGTTGTAGTTTTTCCAAATATCCAGCTTTCCTACCCTACCATGAGCCCTTTTGACTAAGTATTCTTTTTAAAAATTTATCACACATCAGTTACCACTTATCAATGACCACTGTCAGTTTTTAAATCTTCTCCCTCATAGTCTTTATTCCCATTTAATGCTAGAGTCTCACTTAATTGCTTTATATATAATGCATTGTTCTTATCTTCCAAATTGATTTATAATCTTCTTTGGGGGCATTAAGATTAGAATCATACTGGGGTAAGTATCAGATCATTTTTGTTGAGTTTTTTAACCCCTAAAGTTCAGCACAATCTCTTGTAGAAAAAAAGAAAATACTTAAAAGAGAAATAAGAAAAAAAGACTGGCACAGTGATCACACTTAGAATCTTAGCACTCTGGGAGGCCAAAGGATCATTTGAGGTCAAGTGTTCAAGACTATCCTAAACTAAGCAAGACCCTGAGACTCTGTCTCTACTAAAAATAAAAAAATTAGCTGAGCATGGTGGCACACACCTGTAGTCCAAGCTACTTGGGAGGCTGAGGCAGGAGGATCATCTGAGCTCAGGAGTTTAAGGCTGCTGTGAGCTAGGCTGAGGCCATGGCATTCTAGCCCAGGGGACAGAATAAGACTCTGCCTCAAAAAAAATAAATAAAAATTAATTAATTAAATTCATTCATTCATTGCCAGTTGGATTAGTGAGGCATTTCTTTCTACTTTGTTGGGATTGTCCAGTAGGACATTATTCCTTTATGTGAATACTAAGAGATATAATCCATTTGATTCCTTTCAACATCCAAGTTAAATAGTAATCCATAATTTTCTTAAAAACTTTTATTTCTGGGGAACTTAGTATCATAGTAGCAACCTATTCTGATCAAGTATGCTTAAGAAAAAAGAAAGAAGAAAACAGAAAGAAAAAAGAGAGAAAGAAAAGAAAAAGAATATTCTTTAAATCATACTATACTAAAATTGATCTCTTTATAATTACTATTTACAAGACCTATTTCTTTTACTCCCTAGACAAGAATGAAAAAAAAATCCATCAAATATTTCATATTTCCAAATTCAATAGCCACCATATACTGTTCTGATTACTTTTGAATTTAACCCGTTCCCCTTGTGGTACTCAGAGCTAAAACTAACATACACACAAACGCTAACAAATTTGAAAAATAGCAAGACTCTTTCAAAATGCTGTACCATTAAGAATATAAATCTGCACATATTTTTATTTACATAATCATACAGTTAGGTTAATAATTCCATTGATAATCGTGAATATCTAACACTCATCATTACTCTTTCTCTTATTAAGGTCTATTTCCTTAATTTTGATTGTGAATGTGTGTGAGTGTGTGTGTGCATGTGAAAGTGAGAGAGAGACTAGATTCTAAGATGGGTAAAAAAAAAATTTTCCTACTCAATTCGCTGTATTAGTTAATTAGAGAAGGCATTGAAGAGGAAATCTATTGTCATGTAGAACAAGGGAAAGCCATCCCGATTCCCTGATGGAAATAAAAGAAATGCATTACTAAAATCACACAGGACGTGTAGATCTCATGGAAAGAACGAGATAAAACCACAAGAGAAAACAGGCCAACTTGTAGGATGGTTTGTGCTTTTTTAACAAGAGTGAGGGGAGCTAAGAAGATAATAGAAATTTGGCCACCCAGAGCTGAGGTCTCAGAGGACGACCTGAAAGCAGCAGCCATAGAGCACACATACTTGCTCTTTTTGCAGATGGCATCAGGACTTCCTCTTTTTGGAGTTATTATGAGGAAAAAAAATGCAAATAAAGTAAACAGAATTTGGAAGTTAAGCCAAATAAGATCTGGCTAGCTCCACCTTGGGCGAGTGTTGGACAGACATTTTGGAAAGGTTTTGAACAATAATCAGATACTGAAACCACAAACAGACAGAATCTGAGATATATATGAAAGAGTTCTTTTGAACA